GACTGCAAGGAGAACAAACCTATCCATTCTGAAGGAAATCAACCCGGAGTGCTCACTGGAAGAACAGATACTGAAGCTGAGGCTCCAATACTTTGGCCATCTCATGAGAAGAGAAGATTCCTTGGAAAAGACCCTGATGTTAGGAAAGTGTGAAGGCAAGGGGAGAAGGGGACGACAGAGGACGAGATGGTTGGACAGTGTCACCAAAGCTACCAACATGAATTTGACACAACTCCAGGAGGCAGTGAAAGAGAGGAGGGCCTGGCGTGCTCTGGTCCATGGGGTCACAAAGAGTCGGACATGACTAAACAACAACAAAAGCCCATCCCTGCAGCACTCAAAAGAGCAGGCAAAACAGCCCATGTAGTCAGCTTCTAATACACTTATTCTGCTAAACTAGCTGGCTGGATAGCTCTGTGAGTTAGGTATCTGGCTGCAGAGCCAGAAGTTGGGGTTTGATTCCCCGAGCTTCCCGGCAGAAAAAGCCATCCTGTGTAGTTTTGAGCAAACAAGCTGCACAGTCCCAAGATGCTCAGAGAAGAAAAGAACAGTAGAACATTTCTGAGTACTCAATATACCTAGAAAACCCTGGAAAGGGTTGCTGTAAGTCAGAATTGGCATACAATTATTATTATTATTATTATCATATACTATAATATTGTCTATGTTTTAACATATATGTTTGTTTTATTGGTTTTTGTCCCTGGTTTAACATTTATTACCTGCTCCCATATTCTCCAGATGGAGCAAGAAGAAAAATAAATGCTTCATTTGAAACAAGGAAAAAGCAATGGTTGTGCTATGAATAGAAACTGCAAACCTGTGCATACTTACATGTGAGTTAGTCCTACTGAACAGTGGGACCTAGTTCTGAGTAAGCCTGTATAGTGCTGCTTTGCACAAGCTGGGACGTCAGTGCAATATATTCTGGAAATATTTTTTAAACACAGCCTTTTCTTAAATGGGCAAATACAGGTTGCTTTTTAAAATGTGTTTCTCCCTTTAAAGCAAGTTCTGCTTTTGTTCCTTTGGCTGTGGAACAAAATGTTAAGCCCAGAAAGTTCCACTGGGGATGCTCTACTTTGGCAGAAATGGCATCGCTGTTGTGGAACACAGAATCTAAAGTTCAGGGCAAGTTCGGCATGAAAGATTCACAAGTCCTTGAGACAGGCACTGGAGCAGAGGATGTAACTAGCATTTTTGCACTTCTAACAATGTTCCCAAGAGTTGCTCTTTTAGAAAGGGTTGTGGGTTTCCCCACACACACCCTGGCCTTGATGTCACCTCTAATAATGTCACAAATGTTGATTTCAGCAGAGTTTAGAGAAAGTATCCTCTTTAATGGCTTGTGCAGAGAAGTGAATAAGGCTCCCAGTCATAATTGCACAGTCCCATAATGATGCTGATTTGCTTCTTTCTGCATCACACTAATGTAGCAGAAATGAGAGACATGTGTCTTTCCTATAATTATTATTCATAATGCTACAAACATGCTGAATATGAATGCTTTTTTTTTTTACATGAGCTCCTTATTTGTGGTCCTAATGCCATTCTGGACAAAGTAATGCTATTCATTTCTTTTTAGCTATCCTGCAAGTGGTTCAATGAACAAGTAAATCTGAAGCTGGTGTTAGAGTGATTTTGATCTCTTCTTCTGTCTCCTTAGCGAACAGTTGCCTTTCAAAATAATTGGACCATTAGTGTAGGGGAGAGTAAATGCCCTTCGCTAGACTGAGGATGGAGGTGAACATGCTGCTTCATAAGGGCTGGTAACAGGGTAACGTTCTGTTATGTGGAATGATTTTCTTTGTAGGAACTGAAATGTGGTTTGGGTGTAAATCAGTGGCTCCCAACCTGGGTTCCCATATATTCTTGGTCTACAATTGTCAGAAATCCTGGCCAGCACAGGTGAGGGCTTTTGGGAGTTTTAGTCCAAGAACATGTAAGGGCCCAAGGCTGGAACTACTAGTGTACAGTAATAATTCATGGGTACACCTATTAGGAAATTGCTCTTGGCCATGGTTTCCAGCTGAATGCATGCACATTACACCACTTCTCTACACCACTTGCAGAAGCAGCCAGGGTTGGGCATATAAATGCTTGCTGAAAATGTATGTTTTTGTGGACTTCTCCCAGTACCCCCAGGGTAATAACTGTGATGGTTTTCTTTCTTTCTTTCTTTCTTTCTTTCTTTCTTTCTTTCTTTCTTTCTTTCTTTCTTTTGGCTGAACACAGGATGTTAACTTTTCAGAAAGCATATAGTGACATGTTGGAGAAGTAAGATGAACAAACAACATATATAAATGCATCACACACCACAGATGTGTGGTTTTCTCGTGCTTTCCTGCTGATGGCAGTAATTAAAACTATAACAAGAACTGGTCCAAAGGATTATTTCAATTTATAGGACCCCCATTTGTTTATTTGTCTGAACTTGGGACACCAGTTGTGTATTAATGCAGTTGTCACTGTAATAATTCCTGGGGGAAGGAGTGGAAACCAGGTTAGCCTCTTGCAGTGCAGTCAAGAAGCATTCTTGTGGCACCTTGAAGATCTCCCGGTTTTATTTGGCACCAGAGGCAAGGCAGCACTTACACATTGGTGCAGTCCACAAAGGTTTATGCAATAAAGAATGGGTTAGCTTATGGTATATATTGTCACAAGTTTTCAGAGTGCTACATCATCCCCACAACAGCCCTGAAAGACAGGTCAGAGTTATGATTGTCTTCCTGCAGCTAGGAAACTGCGGCTGGAAAAAAATTCTGCGAAGGCCATCTAGATGAGATAGGAAGGGTGGGGTCTCCAGGCTCTCAGTTTGTACCCTTAGGCCAAGCACAGATAGTATGTGAATGAAGTGGTAAGAGTCCTCAGGGAAGAGAAGAGACTACGGCTTCTGGCTGCAGTATGTTTCACTGCAAACACCCCCCCCCATTCTTTCATTTCAAAAGAAAATAAAAAGCCGTGCAAACATTTCCCTGCCGGGGCGAAATTAGGGCAACACGTAAACAGCAGAGCAAGAACCTTTTCCCTACTCTTCTTCTTCTTCTTCTATTCTCGAAGGCTTTCAGAACACGGCCAAAGAGCCGGAAAAACCCACACCAACCTTCTTGTTGTTTGTTTTTTTAATTAGAAAAGAGTATTAATGAAGTAATCCAGTCCACTGTGAAATCGCCAGTGCCGGTTTTATGCTACACAGCAGCCCATCACCAGTCCTCACAGTAAACACGTTAACGTTCGCGCGGTTCTTTATTGGCAGATTTCACACGTTCAGGTCTACGCGCCAGCAAAGAAGCTCGATGATCCGGGTCGTTTTCCCGGGCATCGTTAGAGACCACACCGTAGACACACACGCACAGAAACGCCGTCCTCGTGCAGCTGCAGCGCATTTGCGGATAAGTGCCTCGAATGTGTGAAGTGACAAGACCTCAGGAAAACCCCGCGTCCGCCCGGGTGAAGAACCCGCGAGGCGAGGCGAGGCGAGGCGAGCTGCGGCGTCCGTCATCCCCCCCCCCGTCCCCGCTTCCTCTGCCGCCTTAATTAGAAAATCGACGAGGAGAGGAAGTGAGATCGATCGGAGACAAAGTTGGCCGCGACGTAGTAGCTGGAGAGCTGGCGGAGATCCGCGCTGGGCTACCTCTAGGCTGCGGATCCGGAGCGGAGCGGGCGTGCACCAGTCTCCGCCCCCCCGGGAGCCGGAGATCTCGGTTGGACTGAGACGCTCGATCCTCCGGGAGCGGGCAGCAGGTACAGTACGATGCGGGGCAGGGCGAAGGGGTCGAGGGCAAGAGAGGGGGGCGGGGGGGACACTGTTGCGGGAAGGCTGTGCGGTCAATAAGAACGGCTGGGGGTGTCCGGTTCCGATGGGAGCCGCTCAAAAGCCGGGGTCCGGTGGCACGTTGTCGTCCTCGGGATAAAGAAGTTCCGAGTTCTCTCAAGCTCGACTCAGGAGAAAACAGCCGGGGGCGGGGGGGGGGAGAGGACTCCACAGGGGGAACTGCCTTCGAAGGAAAGTCAGCCCCGGATTGTGTGGCGCGCACGTGCAACCCAGTTTGCGCGACTGATTCGGGATTAAGTCCCCAAATCGGCGTCCTAGGAGTCGCACCTAAACCGGTGTCCTATCCCCCGGCCATTGGACGCACGGCTTCGTGCGAAGGGCGCGGCTCCCCCTTTGGCGGGCGGGCATTTGGCGAAGCGTCGCCCTCCTTGCTTCCTTAGTCGTGCGGGGCTGAAACGTGTGGAGGCGTCGGATCGACGAGCTGAACCGCGATCCGTGCGCGCCAAAGACACCGCCCGGTGGAGTTCACGCCCTCCTGTCGGGACCCTGACAGGGTTGACTGAGGTCTAGGATACATTGAAGGAGTGGTTTGCCGCTCCGGTGACTTTCGGGAGCTGAGGGGGTGGAATTTGAACTCTAGTCTTCTAGTCCCTCCTTCTGTCAACTACCACATACTGGCTGTCAGTGTGTAAGCTAAGGAAAAACTTGGAGCCGGCGGGAGTAAATCATTGCTTCAGCTCCTCCTTTCGCTCCTTCTCAAAATGGAGGCTGCTCCAGTAGTGACTATTGCCTTGGGAGGAATGGGGTGCTGGCCAGCCTTTTCCTCAGGCTAGGCAGCCCTCTTGCTGGCAGGTCAAGACTTCACCCCTGAACACCCACCCTTAGGACATGAGGTGTGGAGAAGGGGGAGCCCTAGCAGGTAGTAGTACCAGGATGCGGCCTTGACTCCACCTACCCCAGCAGCTGGCTCTTTTGCCCCACCAACTGCACGTGGCACCAGGAGCTATTGGGATGGTCCATTAAGGCAAAGGGAGCATCGCCCCATCGCAAGCCCAGGCTGTCCTTTCCTGTAGTGAAGTGATTCCCAGCCTTGGGTAACCCAGGTGTTCTTGGACTGCACAGGTAGTGGTGAAGGCTTCTGGGAATTCCAGTCCAAGAACACCTGGGTTGCCCAAGGTTGTGAACCACTGCTGTGGTGTGAATATGAATGCCTGCCTGTGTGAATACTTGTGTATGCCAGTGCATGTGTAAATGCCCACATATTTGATTATCCTGCATGTGGATATACCTATTTCTGCCTAATGTGCATGAATATCCACTTCTGCCTTTGGCCTTGCCTGTTCCCTCCCACCACCACCACCACTGGCTGCAGTGATGTCCGCCCCACCAAATTGGGGGGGGGGACCCTCCTTGCCCATAGCAGGACCACCAGGATTCCACTTGATTTGGTCGTGCACGAAGGATAAGGTGCCCTTGAACAGTGGACAAGATTTCCAACACATTGCTGTGCCTGAGAGTAAATAGGGAATACCCAGCCAACCAAGTCAGGGGAAGCTAATGACTTCTGCAGGGACAGAGCCTACCCCTGACATTTGGCTGCCTGAGGCAGAGGACCTGGTGACACTCTCCAGTTTCTCCCTTTTCATGTATGGGCAGACCAGAAGTTGAATCTTTTGTCAGTATTGAAGGCAGGATGGTGTCCTCTATAATGCCAGATGACATTAGACTAACTTAGGGGAGCGCAGGGCATCCGGAGTGTCACAGACAGTTCTGTCCTCCAGGAGAGGTCAGTGTCCATGGGATCGGTCTAAGGGAGCATAAGCCAGGGTGCTCCCAGCTGCAGCTTGGTACCATCTGCTATTCAACATGGTTGCCTTACATCTGTTTAATGACAGAGACATTGGGGTAGGGGTGGGGCAGAATTATAACTCCTATGCAGTTGGAACATTGACTCTGCCAGCTGCACTTCACCAACATCCAGGGGACCTTCCATTCCCCCACTCCTGTTTAAGAAAGCAACCACTCAGCCTGGTGCAAATGCTAATCTCTTTCTCTTACCCACCTTGACCTTCAGATAACAAATGTTCTGTGTGTGCTTTTTTCAACTGAAAGTGGATTTTCAAAAAAAAAAATGTTCCGCCATCAGTGAAGGCTTAATGCAGTAAACCGACCACTCAGCCTGGTGCAAATGCTAATCTCTTTCTCTTACCCACCTTGACCTTCAGATAACAAATGTTCTGTGTGTTTTTTTTCCAACTGAAAGTGGATTTTCAAAAAAAATGTTCCACCATCAGTGAAGGCTTAATGCAGTAAACCGTCACTAATTACCCTGTGTGTGACTTGGCTTTCTGCTGGATTCCAATTATTTATTCTGACTTCTAAAGTTTTACAAAGCTAATTTAAACTCTTTGTCTTCTGTAGAATATCTGGGAGGCACTTTCTGAATTCTAGGAAAATCTGCCTTTGATATTTGGTGGTGCAGGAACAGGCTAATACTTTAGCACAGTGCAATCTATTTGACTAATTTGCAATTAAAATTTGATCTGTTATAGAGCCTCAAATGTTCCCTTATCTACTACTGTGTACTTAGTCATGAATATACTTGCAATGGAATAGGTCAATCATCTCCCAGTGCTGTTTAACATCTATATGAAGCCACTGGGAGAGGTCATGTGGAGATCTGGAGTTCATTGCCATAAATATGCTGATGACACACAACCTTTACTTCATCTGCAGTGGATGCTGTCCAGGCTTTTGAGCGCTGCCTGGCTACGATTATATATTGGACTAATGCAAACAAGTTGAAGCTGAATCTTGACAAGATGGAGATCCTGCTGTTGGGAGGTTCTTCTGACCAATTAGGACGAAACTTGCCTTATATCAACTGTTGTGGAGTCTAAGACTGTTAGGTTTTTCTCTCTGCACTTCTAAGATTGCTGTTGGGTGCCATACAAGAACGGGGGGGGGGGGTTGTTTGTTTGTTTTGTTCTGGTACTGTTCACTGTGGATCAAGATGGAGATGTGATGTTTCATGGTTTGCTTTGAGACAAATCTAGTTAGATAGACATGTCTATTGATGACTTCTGCCATGCCCAAGTCCCTTGAAAAAGCTTTAATGCAGTGCTTCCAGTGTCTGTCTTTTGCTTGTAACATTTTGCACAGCTGTGCATAAGATTCCTCTGTCAAGGGTGCAGAATTTTTATACCAAAGCTACCTGTGTCTATAGTGCTGACTTGGATGTTCTCAAAGCTTGGGAAAGTTACATTTTTTTGGATTACAGATCTCAAGATCCCTAGTCAACATTGACATTTCTGTAACTTACTCAGACTCTTTCTTTAAAGTCCTGTTACAAAGTGACAGTAAAAGTTCTGCATTTTGGAAGGGTAACTTACACATGAATGGCACGATCTGTACATTGGCACTTTATTACAGCAAAACAGAAAATTAGAATGCAGTATGCCTGTATACGAATAGATTAGGGGAACTAATTATCGTCTGCAAAGGTAATGTGATAATATTGAAATCCCTGGTGGAAAAAAACTCAATCTAATGTCAGTTCAATTAGTGATAAGAGAATAAAGAGGAATACTTTATTAAGGCAATTTTGTTGGGGTTGAATTTACTGAGCCATAATACCTGGATTTCTTTCTCTCCTGTTGCGGGAGTGGGGGCATTGTTTTGTTTCAAAATTACTGTACACAGCTCATGGTTACTTCTCCTCTCCTGCTGCCAACTGTCCTTAAATCCCACCAGGACAGCTTTTAGTTACTGAGTCTAGTATAGCAATGGTGAACTGTAATAGGGCCCTACATCCTGAAATGATAGATTAATTGTTAGTTTCCATGAGGAAATGCAGAGCAAAGAATATGAGGAAAAAAGCACATCATTTCCCATGCATAAGGCATGTCACATAATAAGTAAAAACAATGCTTTCCTCCCATGGTAGCTAACTAGATGTATGATGTACTATATAGATTATTTTCTTCTCTAGTTACAATGGAGGAACCATAGAGGAAAATGCTGTGGGTGGGACAGTATATCTGAATAGAAGGGACCAAACATAAGACTAAAACAGGCAGGCAGAATAATGACTCAAACAAAACAAAAACCCAAGAAATTATTCCTCAGCTTTCTCATCACTGAGGTCACATGGACTTAATTAAAAAGGAGTTAGTGTTATAACCAGCAACATGGTGGAGCTGCGGGTTAAACCGCAGAAGCCTCTGTGCTGCAAGGTCAGAAGACCTGCAGTTGTAAGATCGAATCCACACAACGGAGTGAGGCCCCGTCGCTTGTCCCAGCTCCCGCCAACTTAGCGGTTAGAAAGCATGCAAAATGCAAAAAATGCAAGTAGATAAATAGGTACCACCACGTAACAGCGTTCCATGTCTAGTCGTGCTGGCCACGTGACCATGGAAGATTGTCTTCGGACAGACGCTAGCTCTGTGGTTTGGAAACGGAGATGAGCACCGACCCCTAGAGTTGGACACGACTGGACAAATTGTCAAGGTTCCCCTTTTTAGTGTTATAACCAGAGCTTGGAAAAGTTATTTTTTTTAAATTGCTTCTCTCAGAATCTGCTAACTAGCATGTAACTTCAGTCTTTAGTTAAAAGCAATTTTTCCAGGTTCTTGTTACAACTGCATTTCTAAGTGCTTACATACTGTATATCGTTAGACATAAAACATAGATTTAATGGCTTACATCCAGTAGTAAGTCACAATTAGAGAAGGCTCATTGACTCAATGGAAAGTTGGTTAGTCAACACTCAAGTAAGTTCCATTGGTTCAGTAGGTCTACTCTAGATGAAACATGAATTTTATCCATTGTGCCAATTGTTTTGTTTCCAGCCTGTTTCAGTATAACCAGGAGAGCTGTGTTAGCTCAGTGGTAGAATATCTCCTTCACTTCCATAAGTTTGCATGTTCAATCCCCAATATCTACAGCTCAGGCAAAGTGAGAAGTTTGG